ATGAATTAAAGGTCCAATTCTTGTTCTTATAAAAGCCAGTTTACAACACTCAGACAATGAAAAGTAACCATCAAGTTTCTGCAGAGAGATTTACAGTGGTATAAATGAACATTAAAATAAGTAATAATATGGCCAAAGGCACTTATGCCTTTTGGGGTTTCTGTTCACATATTTAATCTTCTAGTGTCTCTGATTAAATTTGGTGAGAATATGTAGGTGACTCCTAAAAGACAAATATACCTTGGTATGGATCAACAATGTTAATTCCAACACCCAATTTTGAGAACCATATGTTCTCTTGAACAGATATATGGGTGTTATCATTGGCACAGCTATAAATAAATATTAAATCCTCATCAGTCAAAATAAGGAGTACTCTGAGGTTTCACTTTCATCACATAACAATAACACCTCTGGAAAAACATTAAGTCTAAATGATAGCATATTTATTATTTGACAAAAACTATCTCACAAAATATTTTGGTTTAATTCCCAGATGATTTACATAATAGATTATAGCAGCTGCTACAACAACTCCAAAGTTGTTTTTTTTCTGAGTAGTCTTTGAATCCTCTAACACTACAAGTGTTTTTCCAGATCTTATTTTTTAAATTAGCATGCCTTGAGAAAATACCTACATGTATTTTCCTAGAATGACGCTAGCTATTGATCTCAGCTTGACAAAAGTGGAAGAATTCATAGGTCATTTCAAAGTCACCTGTTGAACCAACAGAGAAGAAATATTTCTCCTTCACCAGCCTAGATTCTTTAGAGACAAGTGGATGGTGCAAAGGCTTTGCAGTGGCACATACGGTGGTGGTGCACAGCCAGAGCCGAACATCCTGGCAGATTATCACGGTATTTCAGCTTCTTAATTTGAGCCCTGAAACAACTGGTTCTGTCCTGAGCTCCTTCGCAGGAAAAACTCCTGAAGCAGTCGCAGGCCTTTTGTTTAATTGTAGCCACGTGCAAATTTATTTTGGGATGAGCATATAATTAATCTATTAAAAGGTTCCATGGGACATTCCAAAAGTTGCCGTGAAAAATTATTGTCAGTGCACAGCTGAGATGCTGCTTTATAGAATTAGCTCATAAAGTGGTATCATGTGTAATTGCATTTGTGTTGTCACTGTCTCTTTGTAAACCTCCAGACATTTACAGCATCACACACTGGAGCAAGACCATCTAATATTTATAATGTTTTATTATTTTCATCTACTTGGAACAAAACTTGTAGACTTATAGGAAATCTGACAAGATGTATCAGAAATAGCAGTGTCCACTTGCAGTATCTATAGCACTACACAGAACACAAGCAGACACAACACCACAGGAATTGCAAGTGACCAAACAGCTGCATGACATTTACTCAAAATACTTTCTGCATTTAACACACTTATTGAGCAGAACTTGAAAATAGGGTCATTGTTTATTTGAGCATGGCAGAGGGGAAACTTTGGGTTTTTTACTAGACCTACAGAGTATAAATGGATCTGCATTGCAAAATCCTTTCATTTTTACTTTTACAGGTAGAAATAATATTTTAACTTATGACAGTTTTGACTGGGCAAAAGTTAAAAGGCTGCAGAACTTATCCTATAGTTTAACTCAAAGTCCTTCTTGGAAGAGGATGGACAGATTGTTCCTCCACAGATTCATATGAGAAGTGAGTTGTTTACAGCTTTTTGAAACATTTAGGATTTCATCTTAACACTTCCTAGTTTATGACAAGAAAAACTAGGAGCATGCAGTTTTCTGATTGCTACCATCAGCCAGCAGGAAAGTGCTTAAGCAAGAGTAAAACAATTTTCTTTATCACTGGTTGGGTCTTAAAGTATATGTCCAAGCTTCATAAAGAACATAGCACCGATTGGAAATTTTGCCAGAATAAGAAAAAAAGAATTTGGCCCTTTTTCTGCAACTACTGACAACACTCCACAATTTCATGCTGTTAGGATTTTTTAATTAAATGAGCTATTCTTCAGTACACAATGAAACTAAAAAGGAGAGAGTATCTAAGTATGAGGCTAAGTTTGTAAAGGGGTCTCTAAGTCCTTTGCAAATGTGCACAGAAAATTAAAAATTCCTTGATACCAAGATTACCAAGATTTTCTCGATAAGCAAGTCCATATATTTTTTTAATGGGCAGGGTTTTTTAAATAGCTGTGCTTTTTGCTACAGTCAATAAGTATCATGAGAAGGAGAAATATGATATTAAGCAGGATCTGATCCTAAACTTATGGCTCCAGTGGGAGCCGGCTAAACACCATTTATAGCATATCCCAACAGAAACACTCCATTTGCTGTAGCAGTGTTTACTGCATTGAATTCTCCTAGCAGAAAACAGCTTTTTCACAGTCAAGTTCCAATATTAGCAGTGAATTAATTATTATGTTATATTTGCAGGACCATGCTAAGGCTGCGAGAGCAGCGGGAGAGAGGAGGGGTCCCTCGTTGCTCTTACTCCTTGGCAAAGAGGAATATAGCTTTGGTAAGCTGGGCAATTTTCAACCTTTAGTCATGTGGCTGAAGAAAAAATTAACTGGAAAGGAACTGACCAAATCTTTTCTATAGTTACTGCATTCCTACAAAAACACATATTTGTCTAAAAGAACAATATTTTAAGAAATATCCTGAAATCAACCTTTGTTTGGATATGGTGATTTGCATGTCATTTCTATCAGCTCTGCAATACCAGTCCAGGTTTTTTATCTGCACTTGTATCCAAACACAGACGTTTTTATGCCAGACATAAATCTATAAATTTTAATCCAGAATGTTACCTGTAAATAATTTACATCTAGAATGTTACCTGTAAACAACACACTATAAACGAAACCAAAACCGGAAAGGGACGGGAAGTGCCGTACCTGTACAGTGATTTACACTGAGCCTGTTCCAACTCCATGGAGTCTCCCATTGATTTCAGTGGGGTTTGGTTCAGTCCCTTATTTCAGCCCTCATGTGTTTTGCCAGTTTAATGTAGTCACCCTTCCTGGTAGCCTTTGTCCACTGCTCCTTATAGGAACATTCAACAATTTGCTGTATGATTAAAAATGTCTGTGGAAGTATGAGCCACATTGTATATTGACTAAACATACCTAGAGGCTAGACAACTCCTGCAAGTATCACAACAGAAAACTAATAGAGCATTAAAAGTATTTTCATTTTAGTTTTAAAAAAATATCCTGGGTATTTCAAACGAACTAACAAGACAATTATAAATGCTCATATTGGGGATATTCATCTCAGTGAAAGTCCTGTAGAAAGCAAAAATGGTAAATAAAAATGAATAACATAATCTAAATGGATCAAAAAATATGACTGACACAAAAATTGCTGTAAGCATATATAACCTGCTTCACTCACCTATGAAAGATAATGATTTTGATTCAAACATAGATACTCACATTAGAGTTGTAATTGTCTGTATTATAACCCCATTTCCTAAACCTAACATGCCAACAAAGCATACAGATACAACAAGGAAAATCCAAACCTGAATAATTAAACACTTTTTATAAAAAAATACTCGAGAAAAAAATACCTTGAGTGCTGTATGCTGGCATTGTATTTACAAATTCTTGATTTTTCAATCATACATATTAACAATGTTTCTTGATGTGTATCACAGAGCTAGTGGAAATACATTTCTACTCAGCACTTGTGTTATCTAGCAGATGAACATTTTCAGGGTGTTTCCTAGATTATAGCTCTTCTAGATGTCAGCTCTGTTGGAATTTTTTTTATGTGCAATACCTTGAATTTTAAAATTCCACCGCAAACCACCGTCTGTTACAGTGCTTCATGCTGACCTGGGTGTAAACTTTCACCATTCAAGAAAGTCAAAGGAGGGTGAAATTTTAAGTGCAAAAATATATCTATTAGTATGGGGGGGGTGGGGGGGGGGGGCGCCAGGGGGGAGGGCAGGGGGAAAGAAACAAGGGGAAGAAGGGGGAAGGGGAATTTTTTTTCAAAAATATCACACCTAGTCCAACTTAATGTCTAACGAGAGCTGTTTGAGCTTGCTTGGCCAGCAGCATGCAAAGGTATCCTCTCAGCTTGACTGTCCATTTTCTTTTCCCATGAATTGTTAGTAAAATCTACTTGAAATAAAACAAAGCAAAAGATATACCATAACATCTACATGAGTTTTTTATCAACTTCTGAGGGGACTATTTTACATTCAGACTGTAAAATACGCACAGAAAATAGGCCTGAGAAAGAATTCTGAACCTAAGAGCATTTGGTTTATATTTTTTTGACTAGAAATGAAGTGTCTGGCACATCATTCATTTCTTCCTGGAAGGTGCAGATTTGAGGACATGTTCAACCCTGCTCTGAGTTTGGACAGTTTCAGAATAAAAGGGAACTATTCCTAAAGTCCCTGCCCTCTAGGTCTGCCTTTTAGATAATGAAGTTTCTGAAGGCGTTGCTCAACACAAACCGACTAAAGAGGAAAGGGGGGGGAAAAAAAAAGGAGGAGGGGAGGAGTAATATGACAGAAAAGTATATGTTTTTGCATTTCTTCTGAGTTTATTCCGAATTATATCCATCTGTGTGAAACAGCTAGCTCCCTAGCAAATTAATGGTCTGATGATTCAGGAAAATGTAGAGCTAGGTTCTTAGTAGTAAAATGCACGCATATGAAGAAAGGGGTGCACAGAGGTGAATCCAGTTTGGTAAGATAGATGTTTTCATAGATCAAGGATTAATTTGGAAACAATAGGGTCCTAATAAAATGCCAATGTTATAATAGTTTTATTAAAACACGTCTTGGAATACAGGATCAAATTCTCTCGGACTCTGCTGCAACCCGCTGAGGAACCTGAGTAGAGTCACCATTTATTAGCAGAGGCGACACATTAGGGAGGAGGGAATTGCTGTCGGCTGGGAACTCGGTCCCGCTTGAGCTGGAAGTTTTGCCCGAGGAGCTCAGGATCGGCCCCTCGCCGTGCCCCTGCCCCTGCCGCCCGCCGCAGCGCGGGAGCGGCGCTCACCTCTTCCCGCGGGGAAAGGGCATCAGTCTGCGCCACGAGAACGCTCCGCTGCCTCTAAAACAGGGATCCCCTGGCCTGCCAGCCTGAGCAGAGCAGCAGTACCCGCAGATGCTCAACAAATGACCGCCTAAAATACGAAACCCTGGTTCCTTCTCTTCTTTCAGTCTTTTTTTTTTTTAATGACAGCAACTTCTGGAGATGAATCCCTCTCCAGAGTTTGCCCGTGCCTTGTCACGGCAGTAGCGTCCTGCACAACTTAACGAGATAAACCCTGACAAGCTAATCAGGCCTGGCGGGGGCTGGCACCGCGTCCTGGGGCCGGCGGCCGCTCCGCGCCCCCGCCGCCGCCCGCGAGCCCGGCCCGCGGGTCGCTGCCCGCGCCGGCGGAGCGGCCCCGGGGGCAGCGGCGGGGCCGGGCGGAGCCCGCGGGCGCGGAGCGGGGCGGCGGCGGCGCTGAGCCCCCGGGCCCGGCCGCCGCCCCGCCACTCGTGCGCCCCCGCGGCCTCTGCGCGGCTGCGGATCGGGGACCCGCGGGAGGGAGCCACCGGCAGGCGGTCACCGGGCTCCTTTCTCTGCGGCGCGCAGGGGATGAGCCCTGAATTTGGCGGTGCCTGCGGCTCCCCGCGCCTCTCCGCCGGGACCGGGCTCCTGCCGCCGCCCCGGGGCTCCCGAGGCGCGGGGCAGCCCCTAGCCCGGCTCCTTGCGCTGGGAGCCGGGCACTGAGTATCGTTTTACCCGGAGAATTAGAGCGTCTAATTTATCCAGGCCTCGTTTGCGACCGGTCTCCTGCTACATTATGTCAGCAAAAGGTCAGCTGGACTCAGCGGTTCTCTTCATTTTCTTAATTTTTAAAACAAACAAACAAAAAAAAAAGAGAGATAAAAAAAA